AGTTTCCATTCTGCCCTCACATTAAGGGCGGAGCTTTTCCTTACACCGTTGAGTACAGCTGATAGGGGAAAAGCAGATCGTTTGGCTTTCAAGAAATCAGACAAAAAAATCCTTAGGAAAGACAGGAATGGTAAATGAGATGCTTTTATCTCTTAAAAAAAGTGGGAGAAAGAGGCATTTCCCGCCTGTGAAATTGTACCAGCCCATTATATGCTAAACAGTGTTATTTGAGAGAAAGTGTTGCTCCATGGCTGTTGAACACAGCTTTAATCCTAAGTTGTGGTGAAGACAGAACTGGTTAATATCCTTTGAAGGAAACAGGAGCTTTTTGTGGTGAGGAACCATTTACTTTGGATTCTATCATAAAAAGTTTCAGACTGCAGTGAGAAGTCTGGAGGCTGGGGAATGGGATTTTCCTTCAGAAGGAAAAGTTTATTTTGCGTTACAGCGCATGTGGGTAGTGAATTCCTCTGTCTTCCCTTTCTTTAGTATTCTCTGTTATGCTTCCTACCCTTTTGCTATGAAACTTTGAAGTTTCCTTTTCCAGTATTGATATTTAACGCTGCCCTAATTGCAGGGGGCTCGCAACATCCATCTCTCCACGCTCTGTCGGTGCTGGTGGGAAGAGGTTAACAAGCCCGTTGGAAGTTGTGTTTTTCTCTCCTCCCTCAGGAATCAGGTTTAAGACCTTCCCAGGGAAGTATTTAATGTGTTTTCATTAAGTCAAGTTTTCTTTTTTCCTAGTACAATTTCACTTTCAGACCTCATTTCATTCTCAGCATTGACTTTCTCAGGCCGGTGGAGTCGATGCCGGTGCAGAAGGTCGCAGGGATGCTGCAGCCAAGCCCTTGCATTGCTGCTGTCCTGATGGATGCACTTACCGAGAAAACACAGAGGTTTTTTAAAGGTGGCGACTTCTCTAACATTGGTCAGTTCAGTATTTACTGGGGGTAATTGCTTTGCTAAAAGAAAATAGATTTTAGCTTGTGCTTAACGTTACAGACACCCTGGATGTGGTGCTGAATCAGTGCTCAGTCCTGGAGATGTCTCTCAGCATTTTTCCAAGCCAGTCTGGTTTTTTTTCCCCTCAATTATTCTTAAAACCTGGCTTTTGAGTCAAGTGCTTGTGGAAATCCGTGTGGAAAATTGCAGGGAGAGCTCTCACATGAGCTTCAGCTTGAAGGCTTGGAGACCAGAAAGCCTCCAGTGGTTGTTTACATGGAAAGCTCCTGAGTTTGGGGCTGCTGGGAAATGGATGTGCAATCCCATCTGGTGATCAGCCCCAGGGCTGCGGACCTTCTGCAGGAGGAGCCGTGTTTGAACTTCATGCTTTGTATGATGGCTCTTTGGGGCTTTGCTCACCGCAAATCCCGAGGAGCTGCACCAAACCCCTGATGCTCAGGCACAGCCTCAGGACTGAGCCTTGTGCCGTTATTTTGGTGTCTGGGACACCTGGGGCTTCCGTGCAGCTGGACCGTGGATGCCTGGGGTCTGCCATGGGTTGTGCTTCAGCCTGTCTCTGAGCTGGGAACGTCTTTATTTAGTCACCGGTTTTTATCTGATCTGCAATCTCCAGAAGCTCCGTTTCTCTGTCAGATTGGGCTGAGATTGGCCACGAGTTTTAAACCTGCCACAGGGGATGCAGGCTGTCATACACACGCACGCGGTGATTTTCTTCAGGAAACAAAGCTAAAAATGATTCATAAAAACACTGTGGAAAATACCAGCTTTCTGGTGGATAGAACAGGTAGCATCCAGTTTGCTATGTTATTAAGCTGCCTCCACATTCTAAGCTCCTGTACCGATGACTTTCTCTGCAAACTGCAATTTCATCTAGCGCCGTCTCGCAAAGCCGTGGTCTGCTGGGGTAAACTGGGGGGGGGGTTTATTTTGACAGCGAAATGCTTGCTTGGCAGTCATTATTGAAGAGAACTGATCTTGTGACTTCCAATTATTATTATTTTTTTGCTTAAAAAAAAAAATCCATCTGAGTGTCAGTGTTTGCCTTTGGGGAGAAACTCCTTCAAGCATGTGTGAGCTGGAGCAGGTGCAGAGCCTCAGCTGAGCTCCCCCCACATTGCAGCTGGGAGCTGGGGTAAGGGGGGGGAACCCCGGTTCCTGCACCTCGGTGCTGGCTCCTGCTCCGTGCTTCTGGTTTTACAGCAGCACCATGTTGAGGATTGCGAATACTTTCTGCAAGACACTTGCAGACGCTGGCCCCAGAAGGCTTGGAGAGACAAGCGTTTTGCATGTTGGAACAAAAGGAGCTCAGAAACTTTGCCTGATCCAGCTGAGAGGCATGAAATTGCCTGATGGCAGCCTGAGACTTGCATTAAATACCCACGGGGTGAGCTGCGGTGTGGAGGGAACCGCTCTCCCCCTCCGCACCCTGAGCTAATCCCGCGGGAGCTGGCGGTGCTGCAGGTGCGAGTCCCAACCGTGGCAATTCCCGTTTGCAATTCCCTTCTGCCGGTGCCATCGTGAAATCCGTGTTTTATTCTTGCTGCTGTTGTCGCTTTCTTCTTTCTTGAAAAGAAAACCCCAAAGAACGTTAAACTGTGTCTGTGTCTTGGCAACTCGGAGACGCGAGCAGATTGTGCTTCAAAAAAATGGCAAAGTTTCAAAATATTGTATTCTGTGAAGAAGAGACAAGGAAAATAAACTCCCCAAAGTGCAGATTTTATTTCACCAGAAGGCGGAAGGCTTTTAGTATTTATTTGGGTTTGGTATTTCACTACCTAGTTCTTCTGCTGACACCGCTTGTGAACCACGAGAAGATTAAATGCTCTACAACCTGTTTGGGTTCACGTCCAAATGGGGTTAGTTTGCAGTAGGTTCGTTTTCGCCCTCTCAGAGCTGCCTGAGAGCAGGGTCCTGAGGTTCAGGTCCAGCACGTGGGATTGTGCAAGCAAATCCACAAAGGAAAAAAAAAAAGAAAAAAAGGAAAGAACAGAGCAAATTTGTGCTTGTTTGTCTTTCGATTTTGGCTGTTGTGTGATGGGGGGGATGGATGGTCGAGGTGTAGAAGGACGCCAAGAGGTGGCTGGTGAGTGTTAATGGGAAGAGTTCAGCTCTAGAGCTGGAGAGGCAGCTCCTGCCCGCAGGGGCAAGTTGGTGAATTTGTGTTTCTTGATTCCCACATGCCAAATAAGGCTGGAGGTACTGCTCTTCTTGTGCCCACGGTTGTGTTGTTTGCTTGAAGTGTGAGAGGATGCAGGGAGGTTTTTGGAGGCAGAGAGGTCACTGGGTTGGCAGACTGAGAAATTGCCAGAGAAACAGGCGTTTTGTTTGCCTGCACTGCAAGGACTATTTTTGAGATTCCTCGTTCAGCTAAAACTTGACAACATCAAGAACACTGTTACTGTTTAGCCTCCAGTTGGATCCGGTGCGCACTTGGCGCAGCTTGGGCAAGAAGTGGTACCTAGAGCATCTCGCACAGTGGGGCTTGCTTCTCGGGTGTGCCTTCTGGAGACCTTTGTAGTACAACTGAGAAAACTAGACAGAAAAAGGTCAAAGAACATCTCTACTAGCTGTAGAAATTCCTCCACTTCTTTTTTTTCAATGATTTTTACTTCCTTACAGACCAGCTTTTACCTCTTGGGAAAACTGAGAGATTCTTCATGCTTCTGAGTGACCTTGTTTCTTTTATTTTGCCTGTTCTGTGCAAGACTGGAAGCTCCTTGGAGTAGAGAATTGGCTTTTTTTTTTTGTTTGTTTGTTTCCTTTTGTAAATTTGCAGCTCTGTAGATTTCTAATAACAATAGCGAGTATGTACGGTGGCTTCTAGTAAATGCTTTTCCCAGGAGGTGCCAGGTGGGTTGTTGCAGCCTGTCCCATCCTGGAATGACTCTTTGCCAAAAGGAGTGAGTGTGATCCTGTCTTTTGGAGCAGACAAGGGAAAAAAAAAATTAAAAAAATTTCAAATTGACTAATTGCATCAAAAAGGTCATTTGCAGTTCTGGGTCCCTGAGCTTTGATCTAGCCCCCTCCGGCACTGGGATGCTCAGACATCTATTGATGTGAGTTTGTGTCAAGAGGAGAAACAAACTCAAACATGTATAGGTGAAGTTTGAAAGAGAATGTTGGGAGTAGAGTAAAACTCATGCTTAAAAGAAAGACAGTAATTGATATAAATTGTTAGATTAAAAGTGCATAATGCCTAAATTAGATGCTTGTGCCATTTTTGGGGAGCAGGGATTTTACGACCCAGCCAAGCAGCCAGATGTTTACCTTGAGGTTTTGGTGACATGACTTATGTTTTCAGGTTATTTTCTCCATGAATTCAAAACCCCGTGGTGAAATGTGGCTCTATATGTTTAGTCATAAAAAGGTTCTTGTCTTTTTCTAGTCTGCCTGGCTCTTGTGTCTGCCGGCTTGGACCCCTTTCCAGGAGAGCCTGCATTTGAACTGCTGCAGAGCTTGAGCTCCATCCAGCTCAGCAAAGCTTGGCTGGTCAGTGCAAACAGAAACAAACGCCTTTGAAGCCTGCAAAAACTCCATTCTGCTCCATTTTTTGCTGGGTTTGCACAACTTTAATGACCAAGAGGTGAAACATCCATTTAAACAGAATCAGAATCTGCTTCTGGACTTTCAGATTCAATTTTTAAAAGATTTTGAATCCTGCCAGGGTTCGCAGTTATGTGTCTGGAATGGTTTAAAATCTCAGAAACATTTTAAGGGATCCTAGGGCTGACGGAGGAGAAATACCTTTCGCTTTGCATTTTCCCATGGCCTGCCTTTGCCAGAGCTCTTGCCTGTTTTCTGTACCAAGTTGGCAGCCAGATCGCACAGGTCGAAGTGAAGCTTTACTGAACAAAGGCACTTTATGTTTTGAACTTTGTGCCCTGAGTCTCCACCACCAGCCTGGCCAGGCATTTATGTTAAATAAGGTCAACAAATACAGACAAGCCATGTTTTGCAAATTAAACCAAACCAAAACACCACCACCAAAAAAAAAAAAAGCACCTTTCTTTAATTCTGCCTCTTTTCTTGTTTCACAGGCAAGAAGAGAAACCCTGGGCTGAAAATTCCTAAAGAAGCATTTGAGCAACCACAGACAAGCTCCACGTAAGTCTGCAAACACTAAAGGGAGAATAAAAAGAAAACCACGAACCCCAGCTGCCTTCCAACCTTTGCTAGCGCCTGCGCTGACACGGCCAGTGGCCAGCGGCTAGTCATGGCCAGCACCTGGGGCCTGTCCTTGCAGCTCTGGGATAATGGGGACTCTTCACGAGGAACAGGGGCAAACCGCCGAGGTTAATTTTGGCATCGTTAGGGATGACAGATAACTTCACAGCCCCTGTAGTTCTCTTCTAGCCCCAGGTACAGCCAGGAGGTCTCAGCCCATCACTCTACCCATCGCTGCCTGCGGTACATGTCTCATGTGCTGCGTAATGATGTGCCCAGGGGAAGGAAAAAAAACGAGTGGGTGATTTTTTTAACCCATGTGGCACTTCTGACACCCAGTTTGAGTAACACACATTTGGTCAAGGTGTAAGAATGCATCCCCTTCCCCACGTCCTCAGCCTTGCAAAAGAACACCCGGTGCTTTGAAGGCAGTTTGTGCAAGTCCGGCCCTCTTGGCTTTCTTTGCTTCCTTGAAGATTGACTTTTATTAGCCTGTTAACCCGTGCTGTGTGCCTTAGGTAATCATTTACAGTGGTTTTGGACCTTTATGCCCCTTTAATCCATTTTTCGTACAGGCTGGCATAGATTCGGTGCTTGCCACCCACCTTGCCTTTTGCAGTGAAACTCTCTGGGTTCCTGGATGGGGAAATGGGATGTGACAAATGCCAACTCCAGCAGCTTCCTTCCTGACCCCTTTTTGGGGTGACTTGGTGGATTTTGGCTGTATCTGTTGAATCCTGCAAAGCCAGGAGAGCGGTTAGGCTGCTCAGGGCTGCGAGGGGATGGCCTGGGGAACCATGGGGGTTTTATTTACTCATTGAGGGAAAATCGAGCTTTGTAAGGAACATTTCACATCTTTTCTCTTTTCTCTTCCACAGGCCACCCAGAGATCTAGACTCCAAAGCTTGCATCTCTATTGGCGAGGAGGTAAGACCAGGAGTTACGGGGAGGAGAACACCCTGGGGACAGGTTGGCTGCAGGCGGGCTGCTCGTGGGATTGCTTCATTTCAACAACAACAACAAAAAAAGGCTAATTAATGAACACCAGCTATTTAGAAATTATGGCCTGTTTTGCCTGCAATGAGGGGTGGTCGCTGGATGAATAACAGCTGGGAAGAGCCAGCCTGGCAGCCTGTGCAAGCCCTGACAGTCACCTTCAGCCACAGAGAGCCAACCACCCGCGGGTGTTTGTGATTCTCCAGCGTGGGACTGATGGCCCCATGGCCAGCCCCAGTGTGACCTGTACTGGTTTTCACCGCTCTGATGAACATGCCCCCACATGCTCACCCTTTGCATCACTGACACCATGTTTTCCACCTTGGAAATTCCTGCCTTGCCTCCATAAGGTGCAGCTAATCCCCTGGAAATAATGATTTTAAACCACAGGGATTGCTACCAGCAGATTTTGCTCTCCTTTGCAGTTCCTTTGCTGATTTAAAGCCTTCATGCAAAGTATTTCCCTGTGCTAATATTGAAGGCTTATCTCATCAGGAGTCTAACTCAGAGTAGATCTTCCTGTCCTGGAAGCAAATCCTTCTGACAGCACGGAAACCAGTCCAACTGATGTTCTAAAAAAATAGCAGGGAAAAAACCAAAACCGAGGATAGCTATTTCGATAGGAGAAAATGGCACAGCAGCATTCGCAAAAGCACTTTAAAGCTGGGCAATAAATTTATGAGGTGCAAAAGATAGGCCTTGGTGTCAGCGAGTTAATTTATGAAGTGAAATGCCAGTGCAATGGTGTTTTATAATGTCTATCTTTGGATGCTTTTCTTTCATTTTGGATTTTGTATTTTCCCTGGCATGGAACAGAGGCTGGAAGGTG